TCTATCTGAGAGCACTGAAGAACCTTCTACTTTCACCCTAATCAATAAAAAGCATTTAATTGTTGGCTGCAGCTATGTAACAGAAACAACAGATTACATAAAATAAGCAGTAAAGTGTTACTGCAAACAATGTCAGAAATTTATTTGTCAAGAATGCCACAATGCCTTCTACATTGATGGAGCCCCTTCAGTTCATATGGGTCAGCTGCAAGCAATGAAATAACTCCCATTTAAAATTAGGAATATGCCTAAGCACATTAAGCAGCCTTGACAAGCAAGATGCTCATTCTTTCCCAGAAAGAACTGAGTAACTGGTTTTGCTTACGTCAGACCAGGAGGTATTCCCATTTTTATGACTAGAATATAAAGAAGTTGATGCCTTTTAGAATGCAATTAGAAAAAAATAAGTTCTTCTAATGGGTTAGATAGTACTAAGGTTGGAAACTACTGAGCACTGAAGTATTTTAAAAAGTACTTTAAAAAAAAACCAAAACAGCAAAACTTGAAAGAGTTGATTGCTAAGTCTTACTGTCTGCTAAGAATAGGACCTAGATGAATGACTGTTTTTTAACAGTCTTTTTTAAAAACAAAATATAAACAACGCATAGCTGAAAATGACTGTGATTTTGTTTGTTTGTTTGACCTATATAGAGATAAAGAAAAGGTGCAGAAGCCTGGAGACAAGATTTTGTTTTCTTTTGTAACTAACATGCAAAAACAAACCCAACTAAAAAACCATGAGAGAGATCACCAGAAGGATAACACAGACAATCTCTCCACAACTCTGTCTTGAAAAATTGGTTGTATGGTGATGGAACCATTTTTAATATCCAGAACACACATGCTGCACAACTGAATAACAGAAGTATGAGACCAATGATGACAGTCTAGTGTATGACCATATCAGCACTGCATAAACACCACACATTTCAGTTCTACTAGAGATGAAATGAGAACAATTTCATCCATCTTCCAAAGCTTTCTTCAGTAGGAAATAAACAAAAAAACTTACCAAAAACCCAACCCAACCAAAACCAATATTTGACCAAAACCAACCAAACAAAAATTTTACTAAAGGACCGTTTACATTTTTCCAACACCAGCACAGATTTAATCAAGTCATGGACCTCACCACAGTACTGGCAGTGCCCTCCAGCTTCCCTCACTTCAATCGCCACACATTTTGAGGTTTATTCCACTATTCTTTCAATACATCCTAAATAACATTGTTCTCGTTTCTTTTTAAAAGCAATTCAAACTGGAGCCATTGGAAAGAAAGTTTTCCCAGAACCAAAACATCTCCAAAAGATCTCCAAAAGCTTCTTTTTATCTCTCCAGTTCTCTCTCAAGTTCACCTTATCAGCCTTCGTTACCTCCCTTACGCTCTTGCGTCAGCACGGCAACTCACACACAAGTAGAAAAGAAAAAGCAAAGTGCTTGGAATTCTCAACAGCTTTTTCTGGTAAGCTCCAGTTGCTATAATTAGACAAGCCCTTTTCTAAATCACAAATACAACTATCAATAGAGATAAAAATGAAAACTAGCATCAAATACATAGAACAAGCCAAATCTAAATGTTCCAGTTTCTTCCTGTTATCTCAAAATGTGCCCTGATTTAACCCTCTGAACACAAATGCAATGGCTGTTTCCATGGCTGTGGTAGCATATAAGATACCTATGCAATATAAACAACAAAATAAAATCATCTTATTAACAAGCCACAAAACTAATACTGTATAAGAATAGGGAATGCAATTGCTTTCACTTAAAGCCAAAGATAGGATTTTAGAAGCAAAGCAGCTTCTGAATCACAAAATCATTAACCTGACACTTCTAACCATTCTAATGTTATTTCAAACAGCAAAAAAGACTGAAATCCTACAAAATTTAAAACTCAACTTCACATTTTAGAGACCTTAACTTTCTCCACTTCCTGAGTTAAACTTCCAGTATCAACCCAAAATATGAACAATTAGGTCAGATCTCAATTCTTTTACCCTGATTCATTTTTAAAATAAGTTATAGTTCTAGATTACAAGTTCATAAAGTAGTCCTAAAAGATCTAAGTACTAGAACATGAAGCTTCTTAGTTCCCCTAAATATAGCAGCAGTCACATGGCTGTCATTAAGACATTAGCTTTTCCATGGCAGAATACCTCCTAAACCTTTCCCCCAAAAAATCAGATTATGGTTCAGTCTTACATGAAATACAGCAGATAACATCTCAGAACAGTCTGTATAAAAATACACATCCACAAATGCAACCTCAGCTCAAACTCTCCACAAAACCAAACAGTAACACCTCAAAACTACACTGCTGAAAGGAAGAAAAAATGATTTGCTGCTCAACAGGAGTCTGTGATCACTGAACAGCCTTTTATTAGCCTTTTCTTAAAATTAATAGACTATAAACCTTATTTACCTCTAGAAAGAATAATTTATTTTTAAAAAAAGGCAGTTTAAGATGACAAACCGTTCTCAGGAATAAATTTGCACTTTGTACTTTGTAAACACACAAACATACCAGTTCATACCAGTACCCTGACCAGTTCAAATACATTCAGATTGCACTCTCCAGAGCAACTTAGCAAATCTGTGAATGTTTGGCAGAAACCTACAAAATGCCAGCATCCAACTGACATCCACTAGTAGATACACCAGGCCTTAAGTTTTATTCCACTGGTGGGAAAAATAAATTAATACACACTATTTTATATGGTACATTCAAAACCAAGAGCGCTTTACATGCAGCAGCTTTCAAAACTCCCTGGTGTAAAATCTGTGCTATTTTTCCTGCTGTTCAAATAGAGAAGCTGAAAAAAAAAAACCTGAGCTGAAAGCACTTCAACACTGAGTCCTTCAGAGAGGAGAGGGCAGAGTCCATGATTTCTGGCTGCCAGCCTTCCACTTCTGCCACTACTCAGCACATCTCTGACTTTAAAACCACATATAACCTCTTTCTAATCAGCCACTTGCATCGTTTCTCCTTCTGGGGAGAGAGATACAAGAGGTCACGATTACATCAAAGCACAGGGTACCTTCAGCAACTCCACTGCACCAGAGCACTAGAGGGTACCCGACCTCTGTAAGAGCCTGATTTTGCCAACTGCCTGATGCCAAGAGGAATGCCAGAGACCTCCTGTTTCTCCAGGGGTCTGCTGGCCCTCAGAGGAGACACTCCTGCGAGTGTCTGCACGATAAGGACATCATTTGCACAGACACTTCCACCGGCAGGTACTAGCAACAGCTGGCTCTTCCATGTCACCTCACAAACCCTCCTGAAAAAGCTCCCAGGGCAGAAGCCTGGAGAACAGAGCTGGGAGCAGACAGAGGACCATAGCAACTCAGCCCTGGAAACGGGAGCAACTGGTCTTCTCTGAAGCCTAAGAGTCCTGCTAAGGCACAGTTGGAGCATTAGAGTGGAAAAATAGCAGGAAAAATAGGCCAGCAAGAAACCTTATTCTAGTTGAGCCTTTCCAAAACAGTTTATTATTTCCATCAGCAGACGGGAAAGCTTATGACAGAAATCTTCAGGTACTGGCAGAGCCTTGCAATGATGCATTTACCCATCAAACAAACGCCACTGAACGCACCAGCATCCAATACAATGGGTCCTAAACGCAGTGCTGCTCTGATCATCTGATCAGATCATAATCATCATGGTTAACTTGGTTATTATTATTATTTACAGGTATCAGCTGGCTAGATCCGCTGAAGACTACATCAAGTTCCTGCATAGAAAATACCCTTGGAGCCATCATATTTTCCCAGTCTTTCACAGCTTCTGTATGCCAGTGACAGTTTTAGAAGAAGATTCTTCAGAAGTACTTTTAATTACTATTTCCTCCTTAGCTAGAATGCACTAATTATAGCCTGTTCCTCCAGATAATAAGAAAACAAAAAACAGTGCAATATGAACACTACAAGAAACTTAATTACTGAGTCAGATGTCCTTTAGATGTCAGTATGACTACAGAGAGAAGCAGAAAAATAAAACACACACATATCAGCCTCAAGTTGTTAGATCAGTTATCAAAACAACGTCTTTCCGCAGCAACTTCATTTTGAAGAGCTCAACCACCTAATTAATCAAATGCCTGTTACGTGTTTCAAAACTATGCTTTTTTAAATAAAGGAAGCCTGCTGATGTATTTATTCCAAAGCAAATGTGGTAAATGGTTCTGTATGCAAATACAGAAGTGCAGCATGACTTTGAAGTTTGAAGGTCAGATACAGTAACCATTCCCATCAAGGTTCTTATGTCAGACTGCATCTTCTGGTTTACATCTGAGTTTAGGAGGAGGAAGAAAGAGAATTAAAAAGAAAAAAATAGAGTCAACCAGTTCTGTGACAACTTAAGAAGAACTGGCACAATATCATTCACTCTCTTTCCTTCCAAAATCTACTAATACCCTATCTCCCACTAAATGAAAAGTCTGCCAGGGACACACAGAGTTTCGTTCTGCTTTTCAACTTTGATTTTCCTGATGAAAAAAACAATCTACTTAAGTCAGCAACAATTTAATATTAAAGAAGAGAATGTCATCTTCTCCATCTTCACAGATGTTTCAAACCCTTATCATTTCAGAAAGCTGAAGGATTTTCTTGTTGACCAACATGCTTTATTTTAAAGCAGTATGGATTCAACTGGAGAATTTATCCCTCACCATTCCATATTCTCAGCAACTTTAGGATACAAAACTCAACAGCTGGGCCTGAAGGCAAACAAATATGCTTCGAATACAAAAGCCCGATCCATGTCAAAAAAGAAAAAATTAAAATATGAAGCATGTTTTACATGCATACCTTAAAGAAAAAAACCAATACAGATTTCTTTTTAGCACCACAATCACGTTTAAATACAGTGAAACTGATAACACTTCCCAGTAAAACACTGAGTTTTATAAACAATCCCCTCTCACACATAAATAACAGAGACATTATACAAAGCAGACAGGAACATGGACGGATATACACAAAATAAACACATTCAAACTTACCCCACTCTAGATACTCAAGGATGTTCTTCTCTCTTCTCAGAGGGGAATTATTACATTCATCATAAAGGCAGATGAGTATATCCAGCAAGGTTTCCACACTGAAGCATTGCCCATTAGTCTGTGTTGGCCCATCCAAAATAAACTGCTCCAACTGCTTCAAACGCACTTCTCCAGACATGGTTGTTTCAGTTTGCATTGGGGTTTCTTTTTTAATGATTATTATTACTTTGTCAGAAAAACAACAACAACAAAAAAAACTTTTGAGGGTTTTGTTGTTTAAAAAGAAGTCAACAGTATTTTTAACAAGTGTCAAACTGTGGCGGTCCTTAATTGCCAGCCCACCTCGGTGTTCCCAGCCTGAAACTAAACCCTTGGAGTTTCAGACACACACAAACAGTGTGGAGATCTGTGTATGCATGACATTTAAGAGAACAAAATAGTTATCTTTAAAAAAAATTCAATAGGCTTAATAAGAAGTGGGGCAAAAACATATATGGACATTCCTGATGCTTTAACAATAATAACTGCACTCAAATTCAACCGAGACTGCCTGATACCGATTTCACCGTGCGCGCACGGGCACACGCACTAATATATTTAAGAAGGTCTTCTCCTTCATTCCCAATGCAGATCATGCAGCGCGATCCTGCGAGGAGCCCCGCCGCAGCACCACGGGCTAACAGCCCCTCCGGTTCCGCTTCCCAGGACGGATGGGAAGGGAAAAACAGATGTATTTACGTATTTATATAAGCGAAAGGCAGCAGAATCGAGGGCGCACACCGGCGGAGAGAGAAGGAGGGAGGGAGGGATGAGGGGCCGCGCAGCCCCGCCGCCCCCCGCCGCCTCCCCCGGCCGCGCCTCCGCGGCCACCGCGGGGTGGGGCGCAGCCCCCCCTCCTCAGGGCGCAGCCACGTCCTGCCCCGGGCAGCCTTTCCCTTCCTCCTCCTCCTCCTTACCGAGTCTCCTTTTAAGGCTTTTCAGTGATTCAAAAAAACTAAAGTCTTCATTGTCGCCCCCTTCTCCTCCGCTGCGCCAAGGGGCGGCGGGCGGGACGCGCGCCCCGACACACCGGCAAAAGCGCTCCGAGCCCTGTCAAATCCTTCCCATGGCTGCGGCGGCGGCTGCTGCTGCTGCGGAGACGGCGCTCTCCTCCTCCTCCTCCTCCTCCACCCGGTGCGCGTCCTGAGGCGGAGGGAAAGCGCCGGCGCCTCCGCTTCGGCCGCACGCTGCGGGCCGGGAGGCCCTGACGACGGCGACGGCGGCGGTGGCTTCACTCCCGGCGGCGCGATGGTGTCCCGGCTTCGCCCCCCCGGGCAAAGGGCATCCTCGGGCGGTGCGTGTGCGGGTGTGTGTGTGTGCGTGCGCGGGGCGGCGGGGAGGGGTAGCGGCGGCGCCCTCCCTCCCCGGCTCGCTCCCTCCCTCCCTCCGCTTCCGCGCCCTCCTCTCCCCCGCCGCTCCCTCCTTCCTTCCCTCCCTCCTTCCCTCCCTCCCGCGGTCACACGCGGCAGCCGCCGCCGCCGCCGAGCGCGCAGCAGCCCAACATGGCGGCCGCGGCGGGGGGAGCCGCCGCCGAGCGCCGCCGCAGCGCGGGGAGCCGAGCCCGGGGCCGCCGCTACTGATGGGATTGAGGGGAGGAGGGGATGCTGCAGCAGGGAATGCAGGGATACGGGCGGACCCAGGGATACGGGAGGGAGAGGAGGGCGGGAGTGGGGAAGCCGCAGCGCAGCTCCCCGCAGGCTGTGGGCGCTCGGGCTGGGCTATCCCGGGCGGACCCGCCGGGCTTTGCCCCGAGCCGAGGCGAGCAGCCGCCGCCCTTGCCTGCCCCGGTTCCGCTCAGCCGCCGCCCCGGCAATAAGGCCTTTGATTAAAAATCCCGGCCTGGTTATGGAAAGCAGGCAGGGGGAGCGGCGCCTGCCTGCTCTTCCAAGGGGATCTGCCAAGCACCAGGTACGAGCAGGGACTCCGGATCCCTTAAAAACGTGACAGAAAATGCGTCGGCTCTTGGCGGTTCTGTTCGCGCTGGCCAAGTGCCTCCCCTCATCGAGGAGCCCGCCGTGCCACCCGAGTACACGCCGGAGAAACAAGCTCCTTTCGCGGGCATTTCAAACTATATACTTTAAGAGAGCTGGAGGATATTCTTGCTGATCAACGTGTTTTATTTTAAGGCGGTACAGACCCAACTGCAGAAGCACATGAAAGGATTTTGCGCTGGTCTCTTCGCAGGGCCGCCTGTGGAGTGGAAAATGGCAGCTGCCTACCAGCACACCGTGGCAGTTCTCCTGGCCAGACGTGTCAGGGATGCGCTGTGGTGCTCAGGGCATTGAATGTCACCTCTAAGACAACGTGTAACTTCAGTTCGTCCTTCCTCAGAAGAAAGGGGAGGAAGGCCATACAGCCCCCAAAGGTCACTGGCTGTAGGTGAGCTTCAGCATTCTCCTGAAGCGCACCAAGTCTTGTTCTTCTGGAGCCCAAGGGAAGGAAAAAGCTCAGGCGTCTGCTTCCTCAGTTCACTAATCAGCAGATGACCCTCAATAGGGCTTTGCCATACCAAGCATTTATATAACACTTTTTTTTTTAACTTCTTTTAACACTTCTTTTTTTTCACCAGCTGATATAAAACATCAACAGTCTTACGTACCCAGTAAGATGTAATACACAATATGATTAAAGTCCCATATGTTTGTTCAGAATCACTCAGCTGTATGTAAAGTCACTGGTGTGAAGCTAGAGTGGACAGTGACTCCCACCCTGTGCATGCAGAATGGCAGAGCAGACTCTTGGAGAATGAAGAAATGTGCAGAGAATTAATTCTAAAAGCTTTTTGTGCATAAACCCTGCAAGAAATGTTAGAAACCACTACAACTGTAAGTGAGCTTGTGATGGGTAGAATATAGGATTAAACTAATACGGAAGGAGTTTCCTTCCTGTGCTGGAGTACACCCTTGGTATGACAAGAGCCCTGTGCCAGTGTCTGGGGTGCTGCTGGTCCTTGACTGCTCCTCTGTGGTAGGAGCCTGCTCCAAAGCTGTGGCACAGAAGCGGTTTTACAGTGAGAGTAAGGCATTTCCTGCTGGCTCTCTGCTGAACTTGTGGAAATTGGGATTGAAGCTGGGGGTGGGGGATGTCTGATGACAGCAATAAAAATAAATTGCTATTGCAGGGGTAGGTGGCCTAGATCAGATAGCACTTCCTATAAGGGTTGGACACACTTCATCCTGAGCTTAGATTAACCATTAATAGGGCTGCACAGGGAAAATGGAGAAGACTGAAGAGTTAAAGGGATGTTAGCTCCTTGGACTTTGGCACTGCTTGGTAGGGAAGTGAACTGAAGAACCAATGCCAGAGATACGATAGGTGTGGATATTTCACTTATTTACTTAGCTTACTGTGTTTTCCTTTGCCAATTATAAAGTCTTTCCTTGTTTTAATTGCAGACCAAGTGTTTGCAAACAAGGATGGATACCCAGCAAAGGCAGTCACTTTCCCTGTGTTTCTGGTTTTAAAACTGAGCCCTTGTTTCTGCCAACATCGCTTGACAGAAGTTGCACATCAAGCCAGTTCTTTTCAGTGTTCTTTTCAGCCTGAGCGAGGCTACAAGTAAAACCATGTAAGCTGCAGTTGAACACAAAATCCAGGAATTTTTTCTTCTCTTCTTGTTTAATAGCCTGTCCAGAAATAAAAAAAAGGCATCCGCATAACAACTGGTGATACACCCACTGGGCTGTAGTCAGCTGTCATGCCACAGGAGCTGTAAGGAACAGGTAACATCAACAATGACTGGTGGCACTTTTATTTGCTGGGAGTTATCTAGGTACCAGATGAGTAATTCTCACAGTACGCCCATGGGATGGAAAAATATTTTCTCTGCCTTATAAGAAAGACTTTAGCCCAGAATATTTAGAAAGCCAACAAAATAATTTCATGTAACATGCAGAAATTCCTTCTCTCTCGTCTATTCAGTCCCTATCCTAAAAATATACCTAAGTTGTGCAAATATTCCCCAGTATCTTTCCTAATCATCGTGTGTTTTTCTCACTCTGTTCTTGTTTTCATAACATCATGATAATATTTTCATCTTCTTGCTTAGCTTTACAAATGTTTACAGTACCTAAAACATAACTAATGATAATAAGGAATTTATATCTTACAATAAGCTAAGCAAGCTGATAACAGCAGAGAGAATAGTGTGGAATGAGGAGGACATGAAACAGTGTCGTTTATATATTAACAACATATACGTTGAGTGTTTCAATAGTTTTTCTTGGTAAAATAGAATTAATAGCCTTTTCTCTTCAGGGACAAAGGTTTGTTGTTTTTGGTGAAGTATTGTGGATATCTGTTTTTGGTGTGCAAACCATTTCTAAAGTTGAGAGAGACCCCACATGCTTCCCAGCAGGTGAATAATGCTTGTGACAGGTAGATCTACTACATGCCTAGGGATAAGTATTCAAGAATAGCATTTATGTATTGACAAAATTTTGCATCCAGGCTTTTCTGTTCTCTAAAACTTCACTTTGTAGACACGTGTTGTTTGTACTGATACTGCATTTCATCTCCCAAGCAAAATGTTTTAGTATTCTGCAAAAACAGTGCTGGCACCCAATTTGGAGGGTGTGTTTATAGACATGGGATGGTACTATTTGAAAAGGGGGTCCTACAGCTGTTGCCTGAACTGTAGTAAAACTTAGGTTATTGGAAGAGATTGCAGGTAGCTGCAGATGGAGCACACAGTGATTGCACTCTAGGAGGACAGTGAAGAACAGCATGTGTGAATTGAGCAACGCTTGTTCTATCATCTGTGTCACTGTAGTTTCACATAAATCTTTGTGCTGGGGCAAACTTAATCCTTAATCTCTTTAACAGAGAGATCTCTTCACTGAAACTGATGGCTGTTGCAGAACTTTAATTAGTCTCAGTACCTATAATAATGATAATGCATTTAATAACACACTTTAGTATTTTTAAAGACTTGTAAATCTGCTGTTCTTCCCCTCTCTAACTGCCTTGCCAAGACCTGTTTCTCCTGTGAGGTCTACAGAAAATTCCAACTACAAGCACTAAATGATACCTGGCAAAATTGATGCTTAATATTTACCTAATCCCAAAACAATGATCATAAATGCTTATATATATAGGCATTATAAATATGGAATTATCTTTCTCTTCCCTCATGCTTCTTTTATTGGTCTTTGGAGTCTTATTTATAGTCTTAATGACTTTCTGTGAATGGCTGAATGGAATAATTTTACCTCAGAGAGAAATTGCATCATGCTGATCTTACTACACTGGATCTGTCCTGGCCTCATCCCCCTGGTTTTAGTCTTCATTTAAAACTAATGAGAATGTGGCCACCACCAACATACAATTTTCTGTGAAGAATGAAGCAGGCTTGACCCTGCTGAAGTGTCCAGGGGTGCTGTGCTCTGAACAGAAACAAGAGAACCTCTGTGATTAAAGAAGAGGAGAGGAAGTAATGGAATTACATTTATAACTGCGTGAAATTGCTATAATTTTAATCCTGCTTTTATGATGAAGACTAAGAACTGACCAAAGTCACGTCTCATTCTGACCTCCAAATAGGACCCTGTGTTTGCACTCTAACAATGCTGTTTCATCTCTCAATGTGTTGTTTTCTTCTGTGAAAGTGGGGTCAAGGCTGCCAAAGCTCTTAGGGCTTCTGTAAACCTTAATTAATGCCAGTGTAGCAGTCTGAGATTATTTTTTCATTTTCCTTTCTTCAGTAACATAAATCTAAGACTGTTATTTTATTTTCTCTCTTGTTTTTGTAGTCTGTAATTGTCTGCAACTCTTCGAGCCTTCAGTCCCTCCATAATCTGGTTCTTTCCTGTGGATTTCTCTGTCTTTGCTGATGTTTTATTCCACTCTGTCCAGAATCTGTTACCTGTGTTATGCCATCTTCGAAAGTTGAACTCTCCTCAAGATAATTCACTCCCTTAAATGAGGATATTTATTAACATAGAATTCTTTGTCAGGTCAAGTGGCTTCTTAAACTGAAGAGTTCTGAGGAAGACCACATATTTACTTGTGAAACTGGATGGATGCAAATTTTTGCCACTGCCACACGTGCAGAT